TCTATATGTTTCAGAGGATTTACTTATTTTTGTTAAGATTTTTTTTTGGTTCAAGTTAGAATTTCGATATAAACATAGAACACTGAATGTGTTCCAAGAAAATAAAAAATTGTATAAGATCCAAAGGGAGTATTGGAGTAGTAGTTTTTCCTCAAAAAAAAATTTATTGCAGTTTTGTTTGTGTGTCAACGATTTTTCTTGTGATAAAAGAGAAAAAGTCGCTTCATAGACTAAACGTGATCAACCCAAATAAAACATGAAAGAGAGGCAAAAGAGTCAACTTTCCAAAGGTATATTTCTGTAAGAAAACTAAAGAAACGTGTCTATTCTGTAAAAATGCCTTTAAATATATGGTTGGTTAATTACAAATTTATGTTCTTTCTAATTGTTTTTAAGGAATGTATGGTTTAGTCATGTTTATAGAACAGCAAACACATAATAAACTTTAAATGATACGAAGTTAAGTAGCAAGTATATTATCAAGATTATAATCTACTTATTTGCAATTTGAAGTCACCAGAAAAAATCTATAAGAAATACAGCTCTTCAGTATAAAACGGTAACGTGGTACGTGGATCGCCAAAGGGTAAAATGAACATCGCATGCAAACGATACAAAAACGCTTCCTCAAATCCTCAATCATGGAACCAATTCCAAACAAGCTTTTCCTACCGTATATCTTGAAGCGAATGGTTTGACGAGCTCGCGTGTGACCGAAGCAAGGCATTTCGCGTTTGAAGCCCTCTCTCATATTTTTATCAATAGATATATTTTTGGTAGAATTTAAAATAAAAATGTATTACCATAATAGTTTTTTAGACTAATACAATAATATTTCGAGAAGATTGTTTACCCATGAGATTTCTCACGGGAGCAAGGGGACCGCTAAGTGAGTATAGATACTAACAAATTTAAATACTAAGTTAATATATATATATATATATATGACTTATTAATTTTTAATCAAGAGATATGAAATGATATAATATTTTCTCTGTTTTAATTTTTGATCCTTCAGGGAGAATTGTTGTTCTAAACCAAACGATATTTTAAAGTCTAATATAAAATTTATTAACATTTATTTTGCTTCATTATTGATTGGAATGTAACTAGATAAACCGTAATTTTTTTTGAAACAATGAAATTTTTATATTTTAATAACATGTGTAAAAAGATATTCAAATCAATTCTAAACATAATATTTTTTGTCATATTTTATTTCCATCTCCAAATATTTAATTATAACTCTAAGTTTCACACCAGTATTATATTGTATTTAATTTTTTTATTTGATTAATTAATAATTAATAATTTTATTAGATTAAAATTTATTTTTGTTTGTTAAATTTGTATAATTTTATGCTTACAAAACTATTAGTCGTACTAATTTCGAATAGTGATTAACCACACTGCCATAAATATTAATAAAATTCTCTTTTTTTTTTAAATTCTGAGTTTGCATAACATAAAAGAGTAGCATAAGAACCAAACAAAGAAACGCCACCATCACTACCTAAAGAGTGCAATGCAAGAAAAAATAAAAGCTCAAACACACCACGTTGCAGAACGAAACACACACACCATCAAAAGCCACAGAACCTGAAACATCTGAGCCTCCAAAACACACAGCACCACCCTCGCCATTAGAAATAAGTTAGAGTACAAAACGCTCTCGAGCCTACAGAAACTGCAGGCCCTCCCTTTCCTTCTTGAAAATACTCCGAAGCCAAGCCGGATCCTCCCGAGCCACGTATGACTGTATACGGTTCTCCATTGTAACACTTCTGGCAATTTTAAAAGCCGGCATATTAACCTCCCTTCCGACTCCAGCTAGCTTTCAATCTAAGACATTGCTCAAAACATTTTTTAACTCCTTCCCATATGCTCGAAAAGATGGCCAAGCCACCGGCTGTAAGACTGCTCCAACCAATTCTGGGGCCTCTACTTCAAAACAGACATTGTGAGTTTTATGGAAAGACATACTTTCAATTGCCCACAACATTCCCAAGTGTTTGGCGTCCAATAAAGAAGAAATCCCAGTAAACGACCTTCTACTATGCAACAAAACCTCTCCTCTCCAATTTCTCAGAACCCAAGATGCACCCGCCTGCCTCTTCTTGCTAGACCACGCCTCACCAACATTACATTTCAGACACTCCACATCTGGAGCTCTCCATCTCTTTTTTACCTTGCATACCATCCCACTGGTCGTCTCTGCTACCATCCTCTGATCCTGAACACAGAACCATTGTCTAGCATCCTCCCTGATTTTACCAACAGTATCATCCGCATCAAACGTCTTCCCTTCAAACATAAAAGAGTTCCTGTTTTTCCAGAGCACCCAAAGCACCCAAGGAAAAATTTGACTGAGTTCTTGAAAGATGTCTTTATTCTTCTCTATCTCAAGCAAGTAACTGAAATTCTCAACCACGTTCCTATTCTCAAAACCTCTTCTAGGAAAGGGAAAACCAACCTGAGCCCATATTCTCCTTGCCGCATGACAAGAGAAGAGGACGTGATTAATAAACTCATCCTCAGCTCCACACCTCTGACATCTAGCATCTACTTTTATACCTCTTGCCAATAAATTCTCCCCCACCGCGAGGGCCTGAGACAAAGCTTTCCACATAAAAATCCTAATCTTTGGGGCAGTCTTTACCTTCCATACTTTACATTTAAGATCACTGATAGACGGTTTAGCCAAGGCTTCTTGTCTCTCCACCGAATTATCCAGCACACCTGATAACCAGTACGCCGACTTGACCGAGAAGGCACCAGACTTCTCATGGACCCACTCATATGAATCCTTCTCCCCCCATGCCGGTTTCAGCTTACTGATTCTGTCAATGTCCTCCTGGAAAAAACATTCCTCTAGCTTAGTTCTATCCCAATTTCTAGTTCTTTGGCAAATGAGATTAGAAACTCTCAGCTCAAGATCAAAAAGAATTTGCTTCCTCAAAGACGCCACAGGACCAGAGTTGAAAAGCCATTTATCTGTCCATACCATCAGACTTTCTCCTGACCCCACGTTCCTCCTCAAGCCCTTCACAAGAAGTTCCCTTCCAGACAGAACACTCCTCCACGCGTATGAAGGTCTAGCACCCAGCTTGGCCGTGAGAAATATTAATAAAATTCTCTATATATATATTTTTTATTACTATTTTTTTTATCAAAACATTTTTGTTACTATTAAAATTTCGTAATTACGCATGTTGTCATTCGTACCCATAAAATATCTTAATAAATAGTGTCTGAACTTTTCCTATAATTTAATTTCTTTTAGTTGTGCTAGATCTGAAATGTAAAGATAGTGGGAGGTATAGTTTAGTAAGTTAATAATTATTAATTATTCTACTATATATATTAAAGCGTACTCACATGTCATAATATTTTATGATTTGTCTGCCAAGAGCTGCGGTAGTTTATGACACGTAGTCGAATGGGTGTAGATTATTGCCACCAGGTCCATTAACAGATCTGTCCTCTTTTCTTTTTCCCGTCAGATCTAATAAAACACAAATTAATCAAAAAAAAAAAAATCTAATAAAACACAAATTAAAATGGAAAATTTGTCCCTATAACCATAAAAAAAACACAAATACACGATATACCTAAAATCATATTCTCTCTTTAATTCTCTTCATATCTCTTTTTAACTTCTCACTCAAAATCTAATTATAACAATCTGGATAGACTTTTGTACTATATTATAATGCATTTAATTCACAAATCAAAATAAAATATTTAAATTCTAGAGCTAGAAAGTTATCAAATAAATAGACTTTAAATTAAAAACAAGGTTTAATTATTTAAAAGCATTATATTTTATAGACCATAATGAGGAAAATCAAAATTATTATCCTAAAATTATGATATTTTTTCGCTAAATTAATTAAAGAGTCATTTTATAGATCTCACTAATAAATGATATTAAGTCACAAATTGCAAAAAAAAAAAAAATTGCAAGAATTTTTCTTTCTTCAGAATGATACTATAGAATGATTTTTATACAAAGGAATAAATTTTAACAGAATGACAAAACACGAATTATATAAATTAAATATTATATATTATTCATTCAATTATAAAAATTAAAATGATAATATTAAAACAATTATTTAAATATATGAAAATAAAAACGTATTAAAACGTTTGATTTCTTATTACTATTATTTAACTTAATTTATGTTTTTAAACACATCTTAATTTATGTTTATAATATATATGAATATCAGAAAATACAACGAAATGATTTTTATTTCTTATATAAATAATTATCCTTTATTTTGATTGTTTAAAATGTAACAATATTTATTTTTGAATTTATATTATTAATATACATAATTTCAAATATAAAAATGTTAGTTCACATCACTAAATACTCATTTTTTCACTTAATAATTTTTTAATATTTTTTGTTAGGAAAAAAAGCATTCACAGTTTTAATATTTTTTCTTCTATTTTGTAAATTTTTGTTGATAAGCAAAACATTTGTGGAATTGTATTAAACGCAATTCTACTATTTCACATATTACCTATAAGTATGTTGTATCTGATATGTAGAAATGTTTTTTTTCTGTTTATGTAAATCTGTATATTGCAGGAAATGTTATAGATTGGAGTTGTGTTCTAAAAATTGTGCATTATATATAGTTGCAACTTGCAAGTGAAATTGACGAAGAAAAACAATAATTTCATAAATTAGTTTACTATTTGCAAGTTGCAACCAGTCAAATTGTAAACAAATGAGTGGGAACGAAAAAAAAAAAAAGTCCTAAGCCGTACCTCACTAATCTATAGCCATACTCGGAACTAAAATCCTTTGGAGATATTTCATAGTAATATATTATTTCCAAAGCTTAACAAAAGCACATCATATAATAAAAAAATCCTTTTCCCAATGCATATCCAAGACCTGGGAGATGCTGGCTCATGCGGCCGAAGAGGCGAAGACCTAATCGCATATATATTCTGGGCTGATATTTACCACAGAAAACCATATAATATGATTGGAGAATAAAATAATAATAAAAATTTTGCAAAAAGAGATTTCATGTTATAATAAAGGTTAGAATGGCCCTATAAAAAAGCAAAGGAGACTGATTCATTCAAGGCCCGTCTCGCTCGCCTAACACTTACACCACACACACTCTCACGCCTTTCTCTCTTTCATTATTCAAAATCTAATGTTCTAAGCTTTTACTTATCCTCTCATCATCCCTTCCATTAGAAGCTGTACAGTTAAAATCTTAAGGTAATCATCTCCTCTCTCTCTCACTCGTTCTCTGTTCACCACCGTCCGTAGATTCTCTTAGATCAACGGTTCGATCTGTAGATTACGTCTTTAGATCTGTGAATTTCGTTTCGTGTTCGTGGAACTCTGATTCGATTCTACGTGACTGCGAGTACTGCTCAGGTAGATTTAGTCAGATCTGATCTAGATTCATCGTAACGATCGACTAATCCATCCATTTTTCCAATTCAAATTTTGTTTCTCAGGTTTTTTTTTTAAATTCGAAACGATGAATCAGTGGGCGGTTCAGCCAAACGCTTTCGTTACCGGAGGAGGAGGAGATCAGAGTGTTGTAGTTTGCCCGAAACCACGTCGTATTGGACTCATTAACCATCATCTCCACCATCCCTCTCGCTCTCTGCGGTGTTACTTCAGCCACCAGGTTGAATCCAAGGCAGAGACTGATATTTTAGATATCATCCTCACCAAGGTATATAAAATAATATTCTATTTTGAGTTCGTGGTTGGTTACAATTCGATTATCAAATAAACCGGTTAGATATACTTAACCAAATAAACCAGTAAAAAGTCGGTTTCACTCTATATTATTATTAGAGAAAATGATTAGAATAGATTTAAATTTTTTTTATCATAAATATAAACTTTAACAATTAAAATGAACAAAATAACAATTAAATGTTTTATTAAATATATTTTTTTTTGTCCAAAAAAAAAAATATATATATGTATATATTTTTTTAGTTTAGTTAATACTAAATTTTTTTTTGTTAGAGTTAAAGGAGTGGGATTTTGGGGATAAAGTTTCAAATTTAAAATTTTCTTTAAAAAAACTTAAAATTTTCAAATAAAAAAATGTTATTTTGGTCATTTTAATTTTTGAGATCTATTTTTGTGGTAAAAACTCAAAAGAGGACATAATTGCCTTTATTATACTTTTTAAATGAAAACGAATAAAGAGAGTAATCGTGAACGATTCTTGATTTAAGCACACATGTTGTGTGTGTTAGACTTGTTGAGAGTTTCTATAAACCAGTAGAAAGTCGGTTTCTCTATATATTATTAAAATGAAAACGAATAAAGAGAGTAATCGTGTACGATTCTTGATTTAAAAGCACACATGTGATGTTGTATTGTGTTAGAGACTTGTCGAAGGTTTTTTTTATAAGAATAAGACGTCTCGTGTTAAATCGTTACAGCACATACGTGGGCCAGTTTTTTAACCTTTTTATATTTAAAAAAAGAAGAAGAAATGTGTCTTTTCTTGAATTCATTAAGCTACATGATGATTTTAATAATCAATCACTCACTAACCCGTCATCAGAGCTTGAAGTATTCTATGTTGTATAATATATTTGGAATAAAAAATTTGATATGTTACATGCATGTTGTTGTGTGGTTATTACAGGATGGTTATGGTACGGAAACAGTTAACCATACGCAGGTATTAGACTCGGCGTCCCCGTTTTTATGTGGGTCGCCGCCGAGCAGAGTCGCTAACCCATTAACACAAGATGCTCGTTTCAGAGATGAGATGAAGCTGGTTTCTTCACCGATCATGACTCCGCGGGGCCAACCTCCGTCGTCTCCGTCTTCCTCGGGGAGGAAAGGAGGATGCGTTAGAGGCAGTTTTG